TTCTTGTGCTAAACACATTTTCAAAAATACAATTTATCACAGAAACGCATGGAAAAAAGTTATGGAACAAAAGAAGATGTGTGTTCTCATTTTAACGCCATGTCTTAATATAATAGTATTTACTTGTGTGCACACAAAACGTCAAAATCATAGTTCATTAAAACATCATATTGAAATATAAAAAGTAGTAATCCAAGACGTGCTTGGACAGGTAACATTAAATGTGATATATGTACAGTGGGTGGGCTGCATAGCTGACCCAGCAGTGAGTCCAACATTGAAGCAGGGAGGTGGGAGTCCGGTAGTTTCCGTGGAGCAGTTGTAGGTCTGCAGGGGACGCCAGGGACGAGGGAGGCTGTCTGTGGCTCACCTCAGCTCTGTCAATGTGGGTGGGAAGAGTGGCAGGCCAGTCCTGATGAAATCTGTCCACACTCAGTCAGCCAGGAAGCAATCCCCATGTCTGCCATCAATGTATGACATCTCTCTGTTGTTGCTCGTATAATATGCTTTTCGAGGATGTACTCAACTGCAGCGCTGTTTGCTGACACATTTGAATTTTGACACAGAGAGCCGTACACTATACCCTATTGAACTCACTTCTTGTATAGACTCTTCTTACACTATTCTATTTTATTTGTATTTACTTGCACATCTCAAAACATTCTCTAGCACTTTTTTATCTGTTTAATTTGTTCTATGTCCTATATATATTCATGATGCACTGTTCGAGCAGCCTGTGATCTAAGTATTTCATTGCCATATCTACACTGTAGCTGATGTGCAAATGACAATAAAGCCTTGAATTGAATTGAATCCTCAGTTTTGTTTCTGGGATTTTACAGTTTTTAACAACCTGGATAAGAAATGGCATTCAACAACGACACATATATTATATTCCAAGTTTTCAGAGCCATATTATAGCAAACATAACCAAAAAGCTTTTTTGTAATGTGCACATACAAATAAAGAAAGCGCAGTTTAAGGAAAGGGAATTTCACTTTATATAAAGTACGTTTTAGAGGAATTCTGCACAGGGGCAATGTGTCTCGTTCCCAACTGAGATAACGTTTTCTTAATTTGCTGTACTTCAATTTGAACCTGAGACTAGCTCAAAGCACAGTATTGGATGAGGCTCATTGATATAATATTAGTTAGCAGCCACATTCCAGACTGGCCGTAATTAATATGACATAAACCACATGATTTGTGTTTCTTTGTAGAATCATTGTGAAACCCATTGCCTATAATTGTAACAAGTATTTACTATTTCAACTGTTCTCTAGTGATAATTATCTAAAATCCCTGATAATACTCTCTTGGTAATGTCAGGCATTTGCACTCCTTCCTGTTCTCCCTGTGCTTATCTGTTCTACATCACAGATAAATCCAGGCACCTGGTCAGAAGCACAAAAGCTCATGTGTCCGAGCGGCGCTGTCCCTGGGAGTAACCCTCCACTGCTCCTCCATGTGCCCCCTGCATGATTTATGGACTGAGGGAAGGTGTTCCTCAGGGCTGACTGGAAAAGACCGCTGCTACACTGTCTCAAACAGACTCCACATCAGACAAGATAAGCCTGGTCATATCCTGTCTTTGTGCTCCTCTCCGTTAAGAATTCAAAAGCAAAGCCCCATGAGGAAGGAGATAGGGAGAAAACATGTTTCAAAGGTAGATAAGAGACAGAGGCAGTTTACAGACTTGAAGAAGATGATCTACTGCACAATTGAAATACCCCAAAAGAAAAGTACGAGACTTTGCAGATAATTACTGCTGTTACTTCAGATTTAAGAATACACATGTTATCAATGTTATACAAATTGTAATTAAATATAAAATATCAATTTGTTCCAACTCCTGATTAAAGACATTTACACACACTGAAAAAAACTGAAATGTTGAATTTATATAAATGTATTATTTAAAAAAAAAGTCACATTAGGTTAGTCGAAAGCAATTCTATTGAGTTTAAAATAATATATTTGTCACAATCTTATGAAGGAGCCAAATGCAGCACTCGAGAAACCACGGAGTATTGGTAATGTACTTTATTGGTAATAATACCAGAGCAGAGGAATACCGGATGATGTACAGGCAAACGAACCGGTGGACAGCGGGCAGAAGGTTAGTCAGGGCCGGGCAGAGGGTCAGGGAGCAGGCGAGGCGGTCAACGAAGGTACAGGCAGGGTCAGAGAGCAGGCAAGGCAGGATAGTCCAAGGACAGGCAGGATCAGGGATCAGGCAGAGCAGGCAGGTCGGGGACAGGCAGGGTCGGAACCGGGTAGGCAATCTGATAACAAACGCGTGAAAGACTAGCATGAAGGCAAAGTACGATCTGGCAACGGGTGTGTGTCTGGTGAGGGTTTAAATACTGGCAGTGAAACTAATGGGTGCAGTAGAGAAAGAGAGTGAGCAAAAACGTGGGTGTGGTTGACAGGTGAGACAGGTGAATGGAAAACTACTGGTGAAAGATGGAGCAGACTGTGACAATATTGAAACTTAATATTATTGCTTTCAACTAACCTAATACAGTTAAGTGAAATCTGTTGACATAATACAAATGTGTATTCAATCTTTTTTAAGGCAGCACCATTCCATTAAATGTCCAAGATGTCATGAGCATCATTTTGTAAAAAGATTATCTTAAAATGCAGCGGAAAATATTAAACAAAAACATGTGTTTCCCTGCAGAGCATCAGGACAGTAGCAGCAGAAATATTCTTGGATTGAAGATGCGCTTTTTGGTTTCATTAAAAAATATATCAAAAAGTTTTGACCATCATATGCATAAACAACCAAGAAACACGAGTCGAAATGGCCTTGAACGATCCCCCATGTTGCTTAAGGAATATGATGTCTTTGTTGTAGGAAGCTGCAATTGTTCCTCTATAAAGTCCCGTAACAGGGACATTCCACATATCAGGGATATTTTAACAATAGAAACAGCAGCACAATAAATCAACAGCTCAGGCCTTATCAATAATCCCTCCACTCACCTCATCATGCGGGACTGTTTAATAACACCTGTTTCTAATATAGCACCTGGGAGAAGAGGGGGTCAGGGTCAATTTGAAAAAGGAAAAGGCTTAGATTTGAAAACTGTGTCAGGACAGGCAGCTGATTGACAAATAGGTTGATATAAAAACAAGGTAGAAGAAGCCGAGAAAAGCAAAGGGGGATGCTGACGGATGAGAGAGATAGATGAGGTTGGGAAAGGTGGAAAAGGGAATTGATTGAAGGTGAAAAAGGGAGTAAGGGGTCAAGGAGGAAAAAGGCCAGAGGTTATCAGTCAACCACTAAGTGAACCATGATGTGTTTTAGCACATGAGATGAAATATCCTGGGCCTAACCCAAAGTGTTATCTGCTCTGTAGAGCATCAGAGGAACAAACCATCTGAACATAATATCATATGACACATTTTTATGTGTCCTTATCTGCCTCTGCTCTTTCTTTTCTTTGCTCTGTTTTTCTCTTCAAACACACACATTTACAGGGTGCTCCTGACATGTGTTGAGAGGTGAAATATGCAGGGGAAGGAAGTCTAGAGAGTTCCAGCTGCATGCGGCCAACTACTTTTGATGCAAAAATGTCTTACAGTCCAGATGTGTGACAGAATATATCAATAACAAAATAAAGCTCAAAATCTGTAAACAAAGACTTTGCTGGCAGGTCAACAAGATGTGCAGGCCTATATCCCAAAACCAGAGCATAGAGTGGCATTCAACAGGTGTCGCTATGGGGCTACAAACATCTTAAAGATAAGGCACCTTTAAGAGTATGTGTTGATCTAACCACCTCATTACATCTTCAGTGTCTTGACCTGCTATGTTTTTGCTGACAGTTTTATTCAGTTTTTTTATTTTTTACAGGCATTGTCCAATTGGCTCCAGGTACTATGGTCCTTTAAGTGATCTGTGACTTTTTTAAATGATTATTTTTATTTGAAATATGTTGTTTTATTTTGTATCCAAAACCATTTTGAGGACCCAACATGAATGTGTTTTGGATGGTCCCCCTTTAGAGAACTGTAAACTAACACACATTAAACATCATAAGTTTAGATTTCTAATTCTTTATGAGCAGCTCTGTGTGTAAAATCAAACTTTAATATATGTAAAGGAATGCTGGAGATTTTAGTTATTCCATTAATATATATATATGAGAAGTAATATTACAGTAGAGTAAAGAGAGAAAGGGAAGACCAGGTGAAACAATTTATTTAGTTTTAGATTGTCTGCATTTTCATGCAGTCTGGTGCATCCCAGCGTGTTGCTATGTGGGATGATAATAGAGTACGTACAGCACTTTTTCTATGTCGCCCAAAACTATTCTCTCCCTGCTTCCTACAGGTTATTTGCTTCCCTCACCTGTGAGTTGTAGTAAGCCGGTCCATCTGGTGTTGGCTGCGGAGGGCAGGAGCCTTTTTTCTCAAACACACAGGAATGTGAAGGTTAAAACGCTGTTGAAATGATTTGAACCCTGCATTGGGGAATGTACATGTTCTATTTCTTTCTATGTCTTTCTGCCTCCCTGTGTGATATCTATGATTAAAAACGTGTTCACTGTTCACGGGTGGTGTGAAGTGGATGAAGGGTTTCATTGGTTTTGGCAGAAAGGGTGTGCGGTGGAGATAAGACATTTCCCCTCACATTGAAACCTCACAGCTGTGTAGATGTAAGAATGTGAAACTTCGTCCTCAGCTACAGTATCTCACACACACACACACACACACACACACACACACACACACACACACACACACACACACACACACACACACACACACACACACACACACACATCTTTTTAGATCTCTCTCTGGGACATCTGGTTTCCTTTTTTTTTTCCTGAACATGGCAGTAATTCCACTGTAGACTGAAGAAAACTATATAAATGTTAAGCTTATTCCATGCACTCAGGTCCCAGCAAAAGAAAAACAAACTGCTGAAAGGGAGAACGTGGTTGATGCAAAATAAGAGACAGTTGTGCTGTTTGCTTTGTTTATTAGAGGTATATTGTCAAACATTTTACAAGCTGCTGCTTAAATGTTTCCATTTAGAGAGAAAAATGCAACACTGAAAAACAATTACTAAGCTCAGCAAAGAACACTTTTAAAGCCCCTGTTTGAAAGGCACTAAAGTCCCAGTTTTAATATCAGTCCTATTTCTTCATGACACATTTAGACACAACTAGCAAATACACCTGTTGTTACACACTTCAGTAGCTACAATAAACACAGCTTTCAATTGACTTGTTAGTTGAACTTTTAAAGGCAGCACTAGCTATGTCTGCTATCATGTGTAGGACAACAACATGTGTGCAATGATAAGGTTGGAGGTGGATTCAATACATTTATTATTTGTACGGATGTAAAGCTACCATAACTTACTTCATGTGGACGGCAGGCTTTCTGCCTGCTGTATGCTCTGTTGAGTGCAGGTATCTTAAATAGTTTCAAGATGAAATACAACATATTGCTGATATTTAAATACATAACGTGTCTTTTAAGTTAGAATGGCCATTCAGTAAAATTATATATAGTCACAAGACAACCATCACTTGGATTTTCTTGATGTCTGCAAAGGAAATGTACAAAAAAGTATTTTTAAATAATAGTGATAGTATTACATTCAAACAATAGCATTATTGTTGTGGTTTTAAATAGCTTGTGATGAAAGGGTGCTTCTAAAGGGACCGTCTTTTATTTTTTATCAATGTTCATAAAAACAGAAGCACCCTACATCTTGGTTTAAATACTGCAGGAACAACACTGTCACACAAAGTTTAGATGTCATGCTAGTGCCATCGTCGTATTGCTAATCTTGATCGTCCATGAGGAAGTTACAGGATTCTGCTCCAGAGCTCACACTGTGTGTCTATGACTGCCTGCTTTGAATGTTCACCGTTTTGGCTGCTAAACACATGAGAGTGAGATGAGTGGCAAACACTGAGGTATAGAATAGACATCATCTGATTTTAAAACGCCAGCTCTTGATGATGGTGTGAATAGCTGCATCGCGAAATGGGAAAAAGTGAAAAGTAATTCCTGGCAGTTTATCCTTGTTGACCACAATTTCTACCTTGTTGTTCAACCATCTTCTTGTCTTTTTCTCTCACTCTTTTTCCCTTCTTTTTTTATATGTCTGACCCTCTTATTTTATTTTTCTTTCAAAGGCTTGCCCTTTTTTTTCTCCTCCTGATGATAAATATTTAGTTGCTTTATCCATCTCCCTCCTCTTCACCCTTACATTTGACATTGTTACCGTTGTCTCTACCACTGTCTGTTTGCAGTTATTTTCATGTTTCTGTCTTCCTCATATTCCCTCGATGTTTCACCATCCACCTCATGCTTTCTCTGGGTGAATTCTCTAGCCCACTACCGGCAGCCGCAGCCCTCCACCACCATGTCCTGGTAATTCTTCAACACCACTCGGTCTTGAGGGTCTAGGTAGAGCAGGGCGATGGGGCTGAGGGTGGTGGGGACGCAGCAGGCCCGGGGCACGGCTCCATTCACAGAGTTCACCAACGTTTGCACCATGGCGTGGCTGGAGGAGTTCATGTGGTCGGCCAGAGGAAAGCGACACTCTCCCAGGCAGAAGAAGGCGTCGTATCCGCTGGGTGCAATGATCCACTTGTGCCAGCCTACATCATTGAAATCTACATAGAGAGGATGACGGCGGCATCTGTTGCGGGAAAGACGTTTCAGTTTTGCGGCACGACCACCATTTCTCTTCACCCTTCCATTATCGCTCCAACTGCCCCCTCCTTTGTCTCCTCCCCAACCGGGCATTGTATACGCCGTTTTTTTGGTCTTTCCCGAAGCTTGGTCTCTATTGCGGCCCTTGTTGCTGCTCCTGGTCCTCTCTTTTGTTCCTTTTCTCCCTCTCCTCTGGCCTCCACTGGGGGTCCTCCTGCTATGTTTGACTAAGGCCTCTCCACGCCCGTCATGACTGTAAGTCACCAAGAGGGGTCTCTCCTTGGCCCAGCTGTGCTCGTCCTGACCCACGGACCTGCCCACCCTCAAGTGTCCCTGTTTGTGTCTCTCCTCCTCTCCTGTAGCAGAGGAGAGGCTCTGTTCAGGGAGCGAGGAGGTGCTGTTCTCAGGTCTGACCTCAAGGAGCAAGCTCAGACTGCCAGTCCCAGCAAGGGCCCTATGGAGGAGCTCTGCACTTAGACTAAAAGCCTCCCAGAAACCACTTGCTTTATGATTGTGGAGGCCAATGGTCAGTACCCTTGTTTCTAGCAGGGTGGGCTTAGGGTCCTCAGGGTGCTCAGTGAGGTATAGGTTTAGTCTGTGGGCACCAGGACCCAGGGAAGCTCTGTCACGGCGGAGGAGCCGAAGCTCAGCGGACAGCACCCTCTCATCGTTAGGGATGGAGGAGACATTGAAGGCGATGTGCACCTTCTGACGATCCTCAGGACTTTCTACAAGTGGCTCTGTGAGAAAGAGGAAGAGAGAGAAGTGGGTACACAAGTTTAATGTGGTTTAAACTTACTGAGGTCTTTTTTAAGCTCAATAAAAACAAACAGATACATGCTTCTTTAATCTGATTTGTTTATGTTGGATCTAACTTGAACTGTCTCACAAGCAGGAACATTGGCAATATTAGCAAATGAGTTAAATTGCCAGGGTAAAATACCTATTGAGATAGCTTACCCTGAAACTAAGTTAAATTAAAGGCAAGAAAAGCTGCACTTGGACCAGAGTTTGAGTATGGTCATGTGTTATGAAACAATATAAGTGCTTTTGTAATTGTAATTTTGTTTTCAACTCTTTTACTTTTGTGAACATTTTAGATCAGGGGTGGGGAACCTCCGGCCTCCGGGCCGTATACGGCCCGCGAGACCATTTGGTACGGCCCTCGAGGTAATTTATAAACACACGCAAAAAAGAAAAAAATTCAAGAAATCTAGACCGCAAAATAATTAAACAAGCTTGTTTTTCCTGGCCAAGGTCAGGGTCCTTGAACACAACACGAGCCTAACGTGTCATCACGTGGTATATGTCTCGTCTGACAGGAGTGTAGTTCTAACGGAGAGCACCAGAACGCGGCTCCGGGCCGGGACTTCACAAATTGCAATACCCATAAGGAGCCGTACACATGCCGCAGTTTTTGCGTGGCTGTGTCTTTAGTTGAAAGCCCAGTGGTGATCTGTTCTTCTGTCATACTGATCATACAGTCAATAACGTTGTTGTTATTAGCATCTGGTTAGCTAGCTATGCTAACGAATATAAGAAGCTTTTTCTCCAACCAGTGAGGTAAAGGCACATCTTTATATGATCATTATAGTTATAGAAAAATAAGAGAATAAAGTAAACAGGTATACAATACTAATATGACAGTAAAAAAAAGTTGTTATTAATAAACAAGAATACAGTTTGAAAGGGGAGTGATTTGTAAAATATCCATAAAGAAAAAAATCTGCTTACAGTTCTGTTTCATATGGGTGTTGAGAGATGTATCCATAGATCTCTTCATGTTGCTCTCAAAGTGCACCAGATTGATGCTTTTAACTTCAACATTTAAAAAAAATCTTCCTGGTGGTGCATGGCCCCAAACCCCCCTAGATGAGGTTAGATCCGCCCCCCACACTTAAATCATGTCCACATGGATATAAAACTAAATACATTTGCACACATCTTGTGTCCATATCTTTCTGTTTTGGTGGTCATGCCACGGTGCATGAATGCGCAGGTCATGGTCAAATATCTGGATTAAGAGGTTGCTTTTTCTTTGCACAGCATGAAAGAAACGCGAAATGAATGGGCTGTGATTTGAGTTTTTTAAGCAGAAGTTGAGTTCAATAATTTGTACGGCCCTCGAAGGATGTTGTAAAAATTGAAATGGCCCTTGAGAGGAAAAAGGTTCCCCACCCCTGTTTTAGATAGTCAACCAGTACTACAGCAGTACCCATTGAGTGATTCAAAATCTGCTGCAGGGACCCTATGTCAAAATCTAGTTTTAAAGCATCATCATTTTAGTTTATTCCTAATTACATATAACTAATAAAGGTGTGTTTAATCAAATGTAACCTACATTCATTATCTTAAAGCATTCCAAATGTCGTGCTGGAATATCTAGAACTTGGAGTTGACCAACGTCAAAACTTCATAAATAGTATATTTATACCTCATCTGTATTTGATATGCAAACTGAATGAAGCTTAAACTCTTATCATTCAAACATTTTGATCATGCTAATAAACAGGTTGACAGCACAGTGTCACGATGTGCCAGTGAGCTTACCGTTGTGGTGAAAGCTGCGTACTGTGTTGGCCTGCTGGATGTGATGGCTGGGGAAGCTAAACGAAGGGTCCTCCACCAGGTGGTACTGCTGCTGGTGGAAGCGGTAGAGATCCAGGAGGTACCCGGGCACCGCCACTCCAGGTCGGGGGTCGGGCTGCGACTGCAGGCCCAGTCGGCTCAGGAGGAGGTTCTGGATGGTCTGAGCCACACTGGGCTCCAGGGGGAGGGCACCAGCTGGAGGGGGCTGCCTGGAGGAAGGCACAGTGGACACCTGGCCATGGTCGATCTTGCTGGTGTCTCCACCCTGCCGACCAGACGAGGCTTGAGGTAGCAGCAGTACCATGAGGAGCAGGAGGTTAGCAGGGAACATGGTGGACCTGGAGGGAGAGGTAATGGGAGGAAGGGTGTGATGGGGAAAATAGGAAGAGAGGAAGGGGGGGGGGAAAGACAGAAAGGAAGCATTGTTAATTGCGTTTCATCCTTAATGCTTTAAATGTTCGTGTTCCAGAACAATATTCAATCGGCAAAAGAGATCGTTCCTCTGAGATACTCCCGGACTCCGTATATCATGCTTATGTCTGCTCCTTCCTGGACACACTAGTTTCTCATTAGTCTTCAGCCTTCATGTGGCATATGTTCAAGATATTTCTGTCTACATAGCCATATGAAGTTGTTTGCTTGTTACTTCTGGCTAGAAACCTGCCATTTTAGTTTTTTCTCTGTTAATTTATGGCAAGCTTCTTACCCCCAAGGCCCATACAGTAGGACATCCTACTACATCCTAGGAAAGGGGTTCCCAAAGTTTTCAGCCCGCGACCCCCAAAATAACAGTGCCAGAGACTGGCGACCCCCTGTCGACGGGGGGGGGGTTTCCGCACTCTCGCGGGAGTGTCATTATTGGCTACAGATGGCTAGTCCGCCCCTGAAAATGTCTATGCAAACTTTATTATTAATAATAATTGAAAAAATCTATATATAAAAAAAATTAATCCATTTTTTAAAATAATTTTTATTTATTTTTTATTTTCCATTTTTATTTTGTAATCATCTCGCGACCCCCACTCGGGGTCTCGCGACCCCCCGTGGAGGCACTTTGGGAACCCCTGTCCTAGGACACCTAAAACAGAGTAATTAAACAGTCTCTATCTTTTTTAATCATGGTGCATGTCTGTGTGTGAAAGACATCACAGTGCTGTGAATAAAGGACCTGGAGCATAAATCACAGGCTGTGGGCTCACAGTGACAAGTAACTGAGTTGTCGGAGCCTGACATGATGACAGATGAATGGGGGTTTTCCTCTCTCTGTTCCTTTTGAAATCCTTAGAGAATATTTGCATCAAAACATTCAGTGTTTCAATACATTGAGTAAAGAAGACAGAAGGCTTTACATTTAAAAAGTTGAATGAATTTGTCTCTTAAATTACAGTTTTACTGACAGCAACTAAACAAACCTTTACCAACAACTCAAAACACATCAGATATCAGGGTTTAGTCCTTCATTATCAAAACCTTTTGTTTATATTTACATCAACTTTGTTCAGAATCGTTACAATCAAGCACTAATTGCTCTAAGATTTACGACTTCTGAAGGCCAGGAGGGCAATGAACAATTCTCAATATCGATGCATACTGTCGAGGGGGAAGAGAAGAGCTTTGTCTTTTTATAATTTTTGAAAAATCACTATCTTCAATGATTTCAACTACAATCTTTGCATGGATTTTTTTTTCCCACATCGGCGTCACCAGTATGTATATTTAATTTGTTGATGTTAAATCTCAGATTAAGAAATATGATTAAAACATACTATGTTCAAAAGCCCTGATTAAAAGCGTGTCAATGTGTGCAAAAGTTTCTGCTCGGTTCAACGCCAAAACACAGTATGCAGAGAAAGTTGAAAATGATCACTAAGGACACAGGATATGGGCAATCATGTTTCATTACCTGATCCGTTAGGGTGCAGAAAACAGAGTAAATGATCATGTTGGACACTTATTGAAAAACTACAAAACAGTTAACCTGCATGCAGAGATAAATTCCAGGCTGTGATATGCTTGCATAATGCAACATCTGTGGTTTGCATGTTGGATGCTGTAAAACCTGTACAATATTTGTACCTTTGCATGTCTCTTTGGAGATTTGACCAACTGTCGTGCTGTGTCTCACATTCACACCAACACCTTCTTCATTCTCTAGTTCTTAAGTTACTAAAGCAGAATTCTGACCAAAACCTTTGCCACAACAGAGCAAATGCTTGTGAGAAAATGACTGAAAACAAGCGATTAGCTTATCTCTCACTCTCTCCACGGCTTTTCTCTGTGCGGGAACGCAGTCACAGAGAGAGGGTCACGCAATTACCTCTATGCAAACTGGCTAACACCCTGCACCTCTGTTGTGCAGGTGTTTATTATAACTGAGCCAGTAATTACAAACCAGCATGTTAACAGCCCTCTTAACCTGAAGAGGTTGTGTGGTGAGGTGTTAAAGGGTCAGAGCAAAAGAGTAACACATGCTGACCTAGGCAATCTAAACTGCAACATAATAGAGTACAAGAGACTTGTACATATTGTTGCCGCTGGTTGAATGAACAATTTGTCTCATCCCTTACTCAAAGAAACACTCAGTTTGTAGTTATCTCTTTTCTTGTCCGAGCACTCGCATATCTCTCTCCTTTATCTCCTTATCTCATCTCTCTTAGGGACAGAGAATTGATTGAGCACTCTACAGCGAGATAACAGAGGTGTTTATGGCCGATCGAACACATAATGGCACTGTAATGACAGCCAATCTCACCACACTGTCAGAAAAAGGGTTAAAATTAGGTCACAGGTCTGAAGGTGTGTATATTTTAATGCACTGTTGTTCATCTGGTACGTGGTTCAAAGAGCAGGCCTGGGAAAAAAAACCCACCTCCAAGCGTGGGATTGTTGCTGGCTACCCATTAAAGTCTTGCAGCCCCACCCAGGGCTGTTTCACCTGAGGCAACAGAGCAGAGGACAATTACAGATTAGGCTCTTTGCTGGACAGCCTCTCCCTTATACTGCGAAGGCTTGTAAAGCAGATTACGGACAGAAACACCACCTCTCTCCTGTACTTTCCTCACCTACAAAACCACCCAGGTGACTCTGAGGTTCAAAGGTTCACTCATCACACAACAGGGTGTGTCGCGGCCATTACCACGGACGAGAAGAGAAACGTTTGCATGCCGAGGCGGATTGCCCTAGATCACTTTGACATATATAAAGCTTCTCTTTTCTCCCTGGGTGTCTGTGTTATGACTGCTTTTAGGAAATGTAAAGAGGTTCCAGGCCTAATTTAGCATCTTTACGTCTCATGTGCAGCCTGATGTCGACTCATTCCAGTTTGCCAGAAAGCCTGACATTTTTATGTTTACACCCCGCCCACAGTTTCTGCTTTTATATATGACTGTGTCAATGTACACTTTTTATTCCTTTCTCTCTCTGGCTGGGACACGGACTAATCAAATGTTCCAGGGGGGAAAGTGGGAGAGCTGCATGATGAATGGGTCAATGTGCATCTTCTCCCTGTGTGCATGCATGCAGATCAGCCTATTAGACATATGAGATGTGACCTGACCTCCCGAGCAGACAGTGGCGTGACCCTGGCGCGCGGCAGACGGGTGTCGTTGCCGGCCTGCCCCGTGTCTTTCTGAACTCACTGATTAAAACCCCTGGCCCTGGACGTCCGTTGGTTCCTGCTTCTGCTTTTGGCGTGCTTCTATCTCACTGCCTCTCTTTTTATCTGTTTATTTCAAACCCTGCTCCCTTTCCTCTTCCTCCTTCCTCTTTGCATTCCTTGACCTTTGTCCTTTTTGCTTTGTGCTCTATTCTGTTATACAATCTGTCACTGCTTTTCTCTCTTTCTCCCATATTTTTTGGACTTTCTAGTGTTTTTTTGTGCTTCTCCAACTCACCTTCCTATTCCCTATCTCCTGCTTTCCCTTTCCTCCTCTCACATTAATGTTGCTCTTTTTTCCTAGGCCCTAAATGAATGGTGTTTTTGCGGAAGAGTGTGGCGGACTGTTGCCGGGCCAGAGGGCCGGAGTGTCACTGCAGCCGGCTGATTTATCCACCGCCGCTGTCTTCATGTTACGCCTGGTCCCTCAACTTTCCCTTCCTGTTGTTCTTCCCGTGTTTCTTTTCCTTCTCTCATTCACCCCTATCCCCCCCCCCTTCCAGCTCTCTTTTTTTCTATGTGCCTTTTTCTTTCAGAACTTGATACATGCAGTGCACGTGCCAAAGAGTTCATTTTCTCTGTCTGAGAATACTCAGAAATATGTCATTTCAGACAGCCTCATGAGCCTAATTGTGATGTACACTGTACACCTGAGAACACTTCCGCGGATACATCTGCATTCACTGCTGCTCTTTTTCCATTTGTAACTGAGCCATATAAACGCACCATGCACGCCATAGTCTGTATAATTAACTCTGAGGTTATGACTGCAGAATACTAGTCATTAATGCACGACTTTGAGCTGTGAAGTTGATATTTAATGGGGGGCGGGTTGAAAATGTCCAAAACAGTGGTGGTTCTGCTCTTTGAAGCGTAACAGATGAAATCATTAGAACAATATTCCAGGTAAGCTGCTGTTTGGGTTTTATTGGACTCTATTAGAACAGCTCCCTAATTCATCCCAGCTGGACCAATTAGCTAACTAACGAGCCACACCTCAAACACACATGTGTGTATTCCTGTACAGGGTTTACACACATGCTAAGTACCAGACAGTGAGCACCTAGATGTAAAACTATAGAAGAGTTGGGTTGCACACACACACACACACACACACACACACACACACACACACACACACACACACACACACACACACACACACACACACACACACACACACACACACACACACGTTCAGCAGACATTCACAAGTGGAGTACAGTCGGCGTTTCCTTGCAGACTTTGTTTTTGCTTAAGTCACACTTGAGCATCAACAGGTTGCCGTGGATTTACAACTTTTATCATCATGGTTCATTTTTTCTTCAGTATCTCCTCTTTTTCTCGGCCTGGCTTGCCCAGAGGTCTCAGTATCACATGTGCATTATGGTTAACAGGAGGCCCCGCTGAGGCACAACACTGCGCAAGCATCAATGGAAACACTGACATATTTAACCCATGACTGCTGAAAGCTCAGAGACTGCTCTCGTCGTGTGTCTGACAGCTTAGCCAATGTGAAATACAGAACAAAAACACACCTCTGCTTTTCACATTAACGCTGCTGAGCGCTAACACTGAGGGCCAATTCATACTGTGTATGTTGCAGAGGTGGTGAGTTACGTTATGCTCTTTGAACTCATAATGGGTGCATTATTCTCTGACAAGTTGCTCACCGGGCAAGATTTTTGATTGAGTAACACAGTGTGCCAGAGGTGTATGCATGTAAGTGTGTGTGTGTGTGTGTGTGTGTGTGTGTGTGTGTGTGTGTGTGTGTGTGTGTGTGTGTGTGTGTGTGTGTGTAGGAGATGTAGTACTCACATCCAGGTGTGGTGGGATGTATGCAGAGTCCATGGTTTATCCTTGAGCTCCAGTGTTACGATCCCTCGGCTCTCGCTCCGGCTCCTTTAGACAGAGTTGGCAATTTGGACTGATTACCTCTTCTCTCTTTTCACCTCTCTCAAGGTAACCAGTGTCTGTCTCTTCTATGTCTCCTATGTAAATGTGCTGAACGTAATGCTGCTCTCTCCATGTTCTCCTCCCCTCTCTGCTGCCTGGCTCAGCTGCTCATCCTGTTGTCAGTGTCAGATAAGCAAACTCTTAAAAACATCCACAGGCTTCCCTTCTGCCTGCCTGCCTGACCTCTGCAAGTAGGCAACTCCCTTTCTCTGTCGCCTGCACTGGCTGTTTAAAACACTCTGGTGTTGCCGTTGTCTATGGAAGCTGCAAGAGGAAATTGAGTTGTGTCTGTCTGTCTGTACTGTATAACCGGCAACAACTCCCTCTAGTTCCTAAACCCCCTTACTATGTCTCTCTTCCTCTCCACTCTGTTCCTCCCTTTTGTATCTCCTCCCCTTTTACTCTCTCGTGCTCTCTTCCTCGCTCTCTCTCCCACACACACACTTCTTTTTGCTCTTTTTTTCAACCTATACTAAGCCCAGTTAAACTCAGTTTACTCTAAGTGACTTGCCTGGTCACTGAGATCCTCCTAGTTAGTGATGTCACTAAGACCAACCCCAATTAACTTACTGTACAGCTATACACACTCACACACACACATACATACAAACAAACAGACACACACACACCACACATACTACCTGTTCCAGATAACCCCGGGGTCAGCACACAGAAGCAAAGTGATTATTTTCCACAATTCCTCCTTTAACAAACTCACCTGCTGCTGTCCGTTGGCATTTTATATTTCTGACAACATGGTCGCAGACTTTCATTCAGACATTATAAATAGGAGGCCCAATGACACTGAATGAGAGTACACAGAGTCAGTTTCAAGAGAAAGGTATGAATGGATGACTCACAATGACTGCCATGAAGTCACGCACAGTTGAGTTTTGTGATTGGATGGAAGTAAGAAGAAAAAAAAGGAAAAAGCGGCGTGTCTCCACTACGGCTTGAAGCAAGGTGCATCTGTCCTTCCAGCACAGAGCGGGTGGCGGGGTGAATTTGTATTCATGGGGTGGACCCATGAGAAAACGTCTCTTTAGGATGCATCGTCTCACATATTAGATCTCATCTGGAGAACCACTTGCCCACGTCCCCCTGCTCCTCCTCAATATCCCCCTCAACTTGTTCTTCCCGTTCTCACACACACACACACACACACACACACACACACACACACACACACACACACACACACACACACACACACACACACACACACACACACACACACACACACAATCCATAGACCTCATTCATCCCTGAGGCTTGAGTGATTGTCCAAACAATGCAAGTTTACACACAAACACAAACACCCTGTTCTCCCTTTTTCTTATGGAAAGTGCGAATTTAGTTATTTTAATATTAACCATTTTATGTAAATCTGTTGTTGAAATGTGAGAAAATGAATGACAAGTGAGAAGAAAAACAAGTTTTCCAGTTGTTAATGTTCACACATTCTCCTCTGATATAATCAGGTAGTACCAATATAGGTGTGTCTGACTCATTTCTGTTTTTTGACAGTTCTCAACCAAACAGCCTTTTCTTGCTCCTGTTGTGCTCCTCTATCATTACAGTAACCACAGGTGGGGTCAATGAAGCCATGCGGCCCCCACCCTAATTCTCACTATTTGGATACCTATCATCAATCCCCATTTAACTCTCTGTCCATCCCATTGTGCTCAACTCCATTTAACCTCACCTTCATAATCCGCCAGTTCAACTACTAACAAATTTGCCATTTTCCAAAAGCCTACTCTAAGGATTTCTGATTTACTACCTTATAAGCTGTTATTATGTTTAGCTATTGTAGACTCAAATCTTGCTAGATACAGTACATGATACCCAATAGGGACTTTTGGTGCATTCAAAGAACCCTGACGTTTGAGAGTCAAAACACATGCTTTTGTTGCAGTGTAATGTCCAGAAAGCATGTTTACTGTTGACAGATCATTTGAAACTGTATATTTAAGAGCTTCTAACAAAGCCTTGAACACCACAACAGTTTATAGGATAATTATTGTTTCTGTAGACTGCATAATCAAGATAAAATAAAACAATTAAGACATGCAATGCTTATGGCACATGACTCAAGCAAGTTGAGTCACCTTAAGTTGCTTTAATACTGTATGAACTCAGACCGAAGACTTTGTGGAGGGGAATACAACTAATTAGAAACATATAGTCAGCATCAACGACATATAAACACACGCGTTATAAAAAGCCTCTTAAACCTCACTGACAGTGTTTAGATTTCTGTAACCATGACACAGCTGAAACAAGCTGATAAAGGACATAAACGTATTCACTATTTTAAGATAGTGGGGCAGCTATAAGTGGATTTGTCTAACCTAAAGCTATATCTGAAGTGAAATAATTACTAAAATGTTCAAATGTACTTATACAGGCCTTTAAAAGTCTGGTGTGTATGAGTATTTGTTCTATGAAAATCGATAAAGGCTTTTTGACGTTTAATCATCATAGCTGAGCCACAGCTCTGGCCTCTTTAAATGAACAGTCATTTCAGCCTCCAGGTTTCCCATCCTCTGGAAAAGCCGTCGACTGCCTGTCCCGCTGACTTCCGACGGGGGTGGAGAGAGACTTTTAAAGTAATACCTCACCGCCCTCTTAACAAGCCGTCCATCCGTTATGCATCCCAGTGTTCCCACCTCCATACGGCTGCATGCCTCCACGGACACAGAGAGCAAGGCCTCGGCAGGAGAGGAGGTGGTTGTTTGGACTTATTCCCTGTCCATCTTCTTCCTTATTTTCCTCATTCAGCAAATTGTCGTCATAATTACTGGTCGATCAACGTAGTCATTAGTCATTAAGTGACAGTGGAAGGGGGAGAGCGTTACATCTGGATAGAAAAGGTGACTTGGCTTCATAAAGAGCAGTAACAGCTGTAATCACACACACATCCACACTGAAGTGTCTTTGTGTGCTAAGTAAATGCTTTCAAGGTGATAATACGGGAATTTATGAAGCTCTTTATATCCCTCAATAAAATGCCTAATTATCAAAGCTATCTTTTAACAACACTCAATGAAACTGTGTCAAGTTTGCAACAATCTATGACTACAAGTCTACAATAACCTTTTCATATTGTGATGTCAGCTGTTACTATATGGTTGTGATTGCTGTTGTAACTTCATACAGTTAGAAGAACAAATGTATAACTGTCTGATTGATTTGATCAACAGAAAAAGGTAACAAGTCCAAAGGGGCATTAGAAGGCATGCAAGATATGTGTTATTTGGCTTTAGGGACAATGTGTATTGAGGGGTGGTTATAGATGGCAGGCGATAAACACAGAAGGGTCGGCTGGACAGAGAGGCAACGTCAGGATGTGAAGTGACAGGATATGTTTTAACAATAGCCAGAGTAAGGTGCAAAAAGGCTGTTTTTGACATTTTATTTGTGACAGTCATGTGAAATGTTAAAATGTAGCCAGACAGATTTTAGTAATAAATGTCATAGTGGCAATCTTACTGCCAGCAGCTGCTCTTACCAAAATATCATCATATTTGATTTGGAGAAAAAGAGTAAACATTTCTAAGGAAACATGTTTGACATATTTATTGTTTGGATTCCCTTGTTTTTGTCACTCCCTTAAAGCAGAACTAGTCAATATTTTTACATCAACAATGGATTGATCCCACAGAGATTTAACACCCGAATCTGCAGTTGGCACTCAGCTCTCAGAGTATTTGAACATGTTTGCTCCTAAAAAGTGAAACATTTGGCAGCTAAACGGCTATATTTCCTTCGGGTGTTAAAGGAAACAGAGCCAAACGAAGAGTGACTATTTGACAGACTGCAAGCCAGGTGGCCAAATCATCCATAAAAATGTTTTTTCCGGTTGTGTATTTTCAAATTCAAGCGCACTCGAGCTGGTTTCTCCAAAATGACATACCCCACCTTTAATGCAGGTGCTACTTTAATAAATTATGTATTAAAATAAAAAGATCTGACGTATCTCACATCTTCAAGTTGTGAGGTTAGTGAACTTAAAAAGATATGTGTAAAACTGCTTCAGCTTAAATGTTTTTATCAGACCATTTTAAATAATTCACAGCAGGTGGACATTATCTTCCTCTAAGTAATCAACCCCAGCTATATGATCACTTCATGTAAACCCTTGTGAAAGTTAATATACATTAACTTTGAGTCAAGGAACCAGTTCAAATGATTTAATCTGATATGTTACTGTAAGACTGATTGTTGTGAGCATTTATTAATTGTGGTGCAGATGAATTGGTAAACAAGAAATACTTAGAAATGAGTGCCGTCACTGTTTTAAGAATGAAACTGATGGAGTGACGCTGATCAACATCAACATAATGTGAAGTCTTGTTTTGGAAGTGATGGAAACAAAGCTTAATGACTTTTCGTCTGCAGTCTTTTTCCAAAATCAAATTTCCCTGAGAAGCGCACGTCACGGAGCAGAGTGAGTCATGAGAGAAAAGCTTGACTGCCCCAAAAAAATAAGCAAAGATTGATGCTCAAACATTTAAAGTGATCGATGGCTCACCAGGAAATTCTGAATGGCAAATATGGCGAGCTGGAGAGTCATTTTTGTAATGGCCTTACATTTACCTTCATTGTGTGGATCTAATGAAGTTACAATGTTTTCCTTTTTTGGAAGTATTTGATGTGCAACTACATTGTAGCCCTAGAAGGATTTCTGATTCCTTTGGACTGACATTTAATCAGAGAAGAATAATCATTGTCTTATACGTGCCTACTATTCTACGTAATCGAATGTTGTTGTGTTTTTTGGAAATGTCGTTGTGTTTGGACATACTGGGCCACCATATCGGGGCCAAAGAGACATGCACTCAGTGGAGGCAATAATTATGTTGCCAACAAACAAATGATAACGTAAATAAAAATGCCCTCTTTAAAATAAGGCACTTTACAAGGCTCAACAACATAAGATTTTGCAATGACTGAACACCACTCAGACATAACGTAAGTGACTACACTGATTTATTTGCACTGTCAAACACTGGAGTTCATAGTAATGAGAACGCAGCAACAAGAAGAGAAAAGTGTTTAAAATACTGTTTAGATTCTTCCAGTAAATAAGTCAATGTCGTTTTTAGACATTGAGTGTGCCTTAGAGGGGAATGACACTGCAAGAAAAAGAAGGATGATTTGCGAGTGTTGCGTGCTGGGAAGGACAAATGGATGTCAGAATGAGGGAAGCAGAGAAAGGAGAGGGAGACAGAGGAGATTTCATTAGATGTTCACATGAAGTCTACTCCACTGGCCACACATCCTGTATGA